TTGGTTTATATAGTGAAATGTTGCTTAATAAAGTTGATGGTTCCAATGGTAGTCTACAAATATCAAATAACAACAGACTTTATCGAACATTCATGAGGATAGAGAAGTTGATTAATCTACTTATGATCATTATAGAAACGTGCATTATAAAACAATTCGCTTCCTGGAAAACACAAACCTCTTCAGAAACCCTTAGACATTTCTGAGAAGATTTCCAGACTAGTGAGGCATTCTCAAGAAAGCCTTCTTGATTTTCAAAGATTTGGAAATCGTCAGGTTTTCAAAAATACTGATTTTGACACGCTAGTATTGTCCTAAAGACTAATTCAGAATCTGAAAGAGTGTGCGGAGATATCTTTCCGGTTTCTGAGGTATCTCATCCGAAATCTAAAGAATTTCCGAACTTCTTAAATCTTAAAAAAAAGTATAGTGTGGAGTCTAAATGCGTTTTCGATGTTTGTTTGATACTCGAAGGGTTTCCGGATTTTCAAAAACTTTCAGAATATTCCACAAAAAGATCTTGATTAGAATCTAAAAATTTTTCAAAAGAAAATATTTTCAATTTGTACTTTCTGTTTGGATTTTCACTTTTTCTTTACCATTAGCGGATTTTAGAGTACTACAAATCCTCAGACATTTAGTATGACGTAATTAACCACTGAAAAATTACGTCTGGGCACCATTATATTTTCAAAATTTAGTACCATTTCATATTTTTCAAATATCCTAACATTGTCTTTACATCTGTAACTAACCTTCGATTTTACATATACGAGGAAAAATATGTTTTTGACAATTGCCAAATAAACAAAATTATTAGCCTAAAATTTTTTTTTCTCAATTCATTTTACTAAATTTCAATAAATAACGATTCAACATAGTCAATATGATTTTTCAAAGTTGGACAGAGTAAGAACGCCAGAAGCTTCTAGCTTTAGATAGCTCATATAACTGATTTGTTTTTGAAAATTTGACGATCGAAGGATTCTAAATTGGGCAAAAAAACTTCAACATAAACGAACATGTGACAAGAATATTGCCACTCAAATGGCATCTAAACAAGATCGTTTTAAATGTCAGTTCATTTCAATCATATATTAATGGTAAATAATATATTATAAATAAAGGTAATAATATTGCAGTTTTACATTTAGGTTCATATGAATGACTTTCGAAGTGATAAGTTGTATTAAAAGTAATACATTAACTCTTTCTATATTTCAGTTCTTCTCAAGGCATCTTTTTGAACTGATCGTTTAGTGGAACCCTCAAAATAAAGTCTTGATGACATTTTTGAAGGTTTCGCAATCTGTTTAGTTGGCTTCACTAAACATGACACCTATAAGGTTTTCGTGTGCTCGGAAACATTTAATCTGTTTTTGAGATCAGGATCTCATATACTACTATCACTGATCTTTTCTGAATTTTCCAGAACTTGAAAATCTTTAAAAAATTTTAAATAGTAACAGAATTGGTAAATCTTTAAGGGATTTCAAGGGTACCTTTTTTAGAATTTTCTCAAATTTGACTTGAACATGAAGCTCTAGATCGATGATTTCGATCTCTGGAAACAAGCAAATTTGGCTGCAAATAGTCAGAAAGATACGGAAAAGTCACTATATCTTGCGGAAAGCTTCGGAACATGGTGAGGTCTAGACACCGTGTTTAGAGTTGGAATGTCTCTGGATTTTTGCGATGACTTTTCGCAATTTCCCGTCTAAAACAACAAGAAATTGGTCGAAAGCCACCAGAAAAATCCATTGATATATTGGCTGGGAATACTTCACCCTAGCTCGATTACTTACTGGATCTTTCCTGCCTAAATCAGCGCGTACACCTTGATCTCGACTACTACCAAATTTTGACTATTTTTTACCATCCAGAATTCTGAATATGTCATATTATTCTCTTTCGATTTTAGAGATTTTCTAACTAATCACATCTGATTATTTATATAGATTTAAGCCAGTCAGTAGTTCAAGAAAAAAGTGGAATCAAGTGTAATATCGGGTGTACTATCTATATATCACATGAACTAAAGCTCTCTTCATAATAGAAGACCCCCTCCCCTCTCTCCTGAAGATAACAATTCATAGAAATTTTGTTTTTTTCCGAGCAGAAATGGTAAAATATCCCGAAAAGTTTGATGAGTCATTTTAGAAGACTTGGGGTCTTCTATTAGGAGAGTGAAGAGGTTTACGCAAATCTATTGCTTTGGTAGAATGTCAAAACCAAAAGTTGCGTTTACGCAATAACTTTCTCACATTGTACTTGTAATTTATCTCAAAACTTATTGTTTGACTACCTTATCAGGTTAAATCTAGGAATTATTTCAATAGTTTTGACCTTATATTTATTTATTCTTGCACATCTGCTATATTCAAAGGTAGAAGGTCATCGAAGATATAGTTTATGTTTACTAATGTATTTTTTCTGTCTCTTAATTAAAACTGAGTATTTTTTTTTTGAATCGATGGCTTATATATTATTTATCAAAAACATGTATCTTCGATATCTATCTATAGTAGGATATTGCAATGATGCAAAAACTAAATAAAGGTGGCTTAGAAGTTCTGAATACACTAATAAATCAAACGTCTGTCTTCATGCCACAACTGACATCGACTACTTTAGATTTTACTATTTAACTTTTGTAAATTTGTCATAACAGGTATCTATTATAAAATTTTTCATAGTTTGATGTAGCAATATGTAATGCATTTGAATTTTTTACTGAGGAAAAGAAATTAAAAGGATATGACTCTCCTAGATTCGTATGAATATTTTCATACTCAACTGTTAAATGATCAACTAGGGCAATTAAAAACTAATGAGAAAACAATAAAACTACTCACTTAGATGAATCAATAGTTAATTCTTCAATCGAATTGAAAACTTTTAAAACATCAACAATCATTTTTGAAATAGTAGTAGAAGAATTCTGTAATCAAAAAATAATTTTTAGATAATTTTTTTTGTTTATACGTACTCTATTTAATTGTTCAAGTGTTTGTTTAACATCTTTATATACAATAACTTGAAGAACAGATGAATCATATTTTGTTAAAATCATTGATAAAATCTAATAAAAAATATATGCCAAATTATAACAATGTGTTATAGGTATGTTTCGTCAGAATTTTCCTCTCAATAGTATTTCAAGCGAGGGAGAAACAGCGGACTTCAGGACTTCAAAAGGCTTCATGCGAGTTCAACAGACTTCACGGGACTTCGTGAGACTTTTGTGAAACTCTACAAGGCTTCTAGCGGCGGTGTCGGGACTTTTAGCCAGAAGGAGGGGGAGGCTCAACCACCCTCGAATTTTTGGCTGGAGGGGCTTAGTTCCTTAAACCTTTTATTTATGAAAGAAACTGTCAATTTTTTCCGAGAATTTTAAAAAAACTAGGCGGGGCTCAATCTCTCTCAGCCCACTCCTGTCGTCGCCACTAGACACTCCTAAGACTTCATGACTAGTCTGCTATTTCCCTCTAAGTTACTCCTAGACAAAAATTATGGAATACTTGTTCTCTGACAGGATATACTTGCTAACATGGGAATTATTTTCAACAACAGAACAAATGTTATCGACAGGACTGCAAACCGTACCCGATTTAGATTTTTGAGCTTTGATTGCAATAAACAAGTCTTTGAATTAAAATCAATTATATTATCGGTACACCTTATATCATCTTTTTAGGGATATTTGCACAGAACAATATTGCTAAATAGTTGATCAAGGCAGATTAGCAAACAGTTTATTCATTTAGTTTTCTCTTAATCTTTTTTGTTTCGCATGATTGATTTCAGCCCCAAAATCTAAATCAAGTTTGACGACTCTTCCACTTTTTGTCTTTGTTTTATTATGTTTTCATCAGATCTAACTGACGCATAGTATTTAAAAACTAAATTAGATTTAAGTTTCTACTGAATGAAAAATAATATGAATTTTCTTTTGAATTCCGGCAAAAAAAGGTGAGATTCAGATTTAGAAAGAGTTAGAATCAGAAACGACAGCAGTTGCTGAAGCATCTTTTAAATCGATTGCAAGTGTCACAAAAAATTTGACGATAAGAGGGACACCGGATGCGTCACAACCCCTATTTTGCGAAGATACACTCTTTCTTAACAAAAGTCTTTTTTTTTATCGGATAACAGATTGTATAATGAAAATGAATCCTATATCTTATACTTTTAAAAAAAGACTATGCGCTTTTCAACTTCTTAGAAAATCACTTTTGTACATCCTCCCACGGTTTTTCTTCTTGAGCGAATCCTTTCATGTGTCCCTAAGATGTACCGTTTCGTTCTAAATGTAAAGTTAACGAGGAAAACTCCTCAGCTGTTTCCTTCTAATTTCGATGATTTATTGTCTGTAGATACAACAGAGTGTGCTTGTAAAAACTCTAAAAGGATTTCGATTCCTATTGTGATTTAGCAAGGCTATTGAATTTTTAGTAAAGTCTAATTATTTGTAACTCTGGATCTCAGGAAAAGTTGTATATTCGAATTTTGATCTGAAACTTTATGCATTTAGAGATCTCGAGTACACTAAATTCCATAAAAAAATTTCAGAAGTTTTCAACAAAGTTATTTTCAGATACAAGGCTTTCAAAAAATGTATATTCTTTATACTATTTATGTGAAAGACCTGATATCCAGAAAATTCAACACCTTGGATAGATTTTATCCAAAGCTTCTGATATTTTTTTATGGAATCTACTCTACTTGAGATCTCTCAATGCATAACGTTTGAGATCAAAATTCGAATATACAACTTTTCCTGAGACCTAGGGTCATAAATAATTAGACATATTAAAAATCCAATAGCTTTGCTAAATCTCAATAGAAATCAAAACCTTTTAAGGGTTTTTACTAGCATACTATGTGGTGTATCTAGGCAAAAAAAATCATTGAAATTGGAAGAGAGAACACCCGATGAGGTTCTCTCGTAAGCGATATCTTCGACATTGTTCTTTTTCTAAAGCATATCACTCGACTCCTAAGAGAGGAACTATATAATTAACCGATACTCCAAGCAAGTTACTCGTTAACGCGTTGTCGAAACTGAAACTAAAGGAAAATGTACTGTCTTCTATAGTGGAATCGTTTTTAAAGTAATGTTGTTTTCTCAAAAGACCCATTTTTGACTGTTTTTCATCTACCAATAATCCTGTTTTAGAAGAAAATTAGGTATCTCAACGGTCTGCCTCATTTTAAAAAAATTTGTACTCCAACTGTACCCCATTTGAAAATTAGGAGTTGGCAGCCCTGTTCATGCGTAACTTTCATAAACTTATTTTTTGAAAAGTTATGCTCTATATGAGGATATCACAAAGCTTAACAATATTTTAAGATTAGAACAGGTCTATGAATATAGCTATGAAAGGATCTTAACAGTGCATTTTTTCGACAATAGCTGTTTGTATGCTTTGATGTAAATGAGTAACATGAAGTTGGATCAAGATATGACTTACGTTAATTGATCGTTCAATAATAATTTCTTTTTTTCCGAATAAATTTTTTTTAATGTTGTCGATGATTTCATAGGTACTAGAAAAGCAAAGAAACTCTCAGAATATAATTAAACACCAATAACAATTTACCAAAGTGGGTCATCATTAAGCATTTGACATAGATATTGCACCGAATCCATATTATTTTCAAAATCATCGGAATCCATTAAAGAATCTAAACACAAAATACGAAAAAAGCTCATATATATCCTTTTTTCCTTCGTTAGTTCGACGCTAGGAAGAAACAGTGGAGACTGTAGTCGTGAAGTCTTAAAAGTTTCTTGAAGTCTCACGAAGTCTCATAAAGTCCCATGAAGTTCTGTGAAGTCTCTTGAAGTCTTGAGGCCCGCTGTTTCTCCTTCGTAGGAAATGTAACATTTCTGAATACGCAACATTGAAGACGATTTTGTAAATCTTTTACATGAATGTTACCATACAACATATTCCAGAGGCTCTCATAGAAAAACGGAAAAAACAATCTCACTTAAATATTTTTATCATTTCATGAGAAAATAGCAAAGCTTCAGTTGACATATGAATCAATCAAGTAAAAGCTGCTGTTTAGGCATATCTGCTAGAAAGGATGTTTTTTGTGATCCTTTGAGGAACATTCAATTCAAACAATATACTGAATCGCCCTCGCGTTGCATGCAGTTACTAGATAGTCTAACAGCTTGACTTTGAAGACAATGAGTAGTTGTTACTTGAAATAATGAAATGATTAAAAAGAAAATCGATTGAAGAATAATGCTTTTGGTTCTTATCTATAATCTTTATGGATTAAGAAGTATACCTATTCATTATATTTTTTATAAAATCACAGAAGATAGAATAAAATAAACGAAGAGTCTTCAGCGTAAAAGTTGAGATAAATGAATCAGAAATAAATCACATAACAATGTACGAGCGATTGGACAAATTCGCAATTCCGCAGAAATCGAATTCAGTACTATGTCTTCACTGTCCATTTTTATACCAAAATAATGTATCGTCTAGCATATTAATATAGATATGAGACAATAAAAAAATACAGATATCCTTTTTTTATCATGAAACTAACGAAAATCGATGTAAACCCTATCACATACAGTGAAATTATCAGTTTGAATCTCAACATTTTCTCGCATCTTTTTAGCTTCCGAATACAAGAATATTCAAAATTCAAGTTTTAACGGAGTGTTTAAAGCTCTAGGTTCAATTTACATGATCATCGACATTTGATTTTTTCGCCATTGAGATTTAGCTAATCAAAAGTTACTTTCTCTAGTAAATTCTATCTACTGATTTCCTCTGTGACATTCATAACATTAAAAATCTTCTAAAAATTTAGGACTTCTTTGACAAACTTACCGAATATTTGATTAATGGTTGTCATTTGTATACAAATTAAGGATTAATTTTAATAAAGTGAAACTAAAATTGAAATCGAATGAGATTAAAAACAGTTTTAAAAGTTGACGTTTTCCATTTCTATTTTAGCTATTTTAACCTGGTTATCAGACGAAAAACACAAGTAATGGAGAATTTTCTTTTTATTATGCTATTCTTCTATTGCTCTTACTAATCAACGCGTACTTAAACGTTTTGCCTCGTATGCCACTGATTAATCTAAAACAACAAACGGAAGTGATTTCACTTTGTTTAGACACAAAGTTTAGTTTAAGTTTATTAGGTAGATTCTCAATACAGCATTGTCCAATAACTCCCTTACAACAAGAGCAGTAATCACGCATTCTTACGTTTTGGAACTCTGCACATTTATTTTCTCTTCTTCAGTATGCTCGTTCTTATGCCTTTTGGATAGGGACTGTTAGGAAACCACATAGCGTTATACGATCTTTCAAAAGACGAATATAGCGGTTGTCTGTTTCATCGTTAGAAATATTTCTAATTCTCTTGAACGACATTTTATAAAATAGATAGTGAATATATATCACCCACTGTTGATATTTTCGCATTCTTTCTTTCGAGATGTGGTGCGTTTTAAACTCTAGAATACAGATTGTTTGAGTGAATATTATTGAAATTAGCAAAGAATGAGAAGCCTTAAATTTCATTTAATCTTTACCCTAAGCAACGAAATTGTGTCATTCATATCTGTCGAGAAAACTTCTTTACTAACGTAAAATTGATGTTGTTCGTGCTGATAAACATGGTTTATTTTCTCAATTAATAATTAACTTTTCATAGTAGTTCTTGAGTAACGTTGATCACTTAATCATTCATCTTATTCCCTCCCCTCTACGCTTTGATCGAAGGTGACATCTTGAAATCTTTCTCTCTCTCTTTTCTTAATCATGTAATACTTCCGACACCTTCTCACCATCTCGGACTGCGTGATATTTTGATGACTCTATCCTCTCGTGATATTATGGGGAACCATTCCTTTGTGATATTGTGGTGATCTCTCCGTCGTGATATTATGAGGATCCCTTCCCTCAAGATATTTTGGGGACTCCTTCCATCCTTTCCCGCATCACTTGATTCTCGAGCAGCTTCTACGAACCGTTCAATATTGATACAATAGTATAAAAAGCGAAGTCACATTACCCATTTTTATCATCTTGTTTTATAGGATAAGATATAATTTTTTCAAAAAAAAATCGACCTTATCTGAATTAAATAGATCATACTTACATCTCGAGAAATAAAAGTTTTAAACGTTGAACGTTGATATATATTCAAAAATCTGAAATAAAATTTTTTATAAGTTTTTTTATATGAGTAACATTCACGTGCATAATTTTATTTCATGAATACATTCCGTCATAATATACCAAGGCTAAACTGCTGCCGATCAGAGTCGATCAGAGTTTATAAATTTCTATAGAATTCTGTCAAAAAAAGTCGAAATCTGTTCACTGAATTCTACCGACTAGATTGTATCGAAATCTTCTGGTTGTTTCGAACTTTTACGGTGGCTAAATGCCTCGTTTTGGGTAAAATTAAATAATATCGATATGAGATGATAAATATGGTTTATTTATTTATCATCTAAAAAGAAAAACAAATATTCATTAAATAGAAAAAATTGTCCAAAAAAAGGTATTTTTCCAACCTAATATTCGGAGTTAGGTGATTTTCAAATTTCTAAGTTTTTTCGACTTGATGAAAAAGTTTCTTTTAAACATGATTTTAATTTTCTCCAACTTTTTAGCGATTTACTTCCAACTATATCGACATTTAAAACGAAGAACAAAAAAAGAAAACTACGAAAACAGCTTTAATATTTCAAATAAAATCGAAACTGATTAACAAAAATTAAAATCGAAGGTATTAGTTCTATTCTATGGCCTCTGCCCCTACGTATTATTTTCTTCCTTAAAGGGTACAGTTTTGTACTGTTATGAATGAAGCATACAAGAGCGCGTGCGTCGAAAGTATTGTCGATATTTGCACACTTTGTTTCTACTTAATACGTCTTCTATTAAAACGCAGATAAAAAGTGGGGAAATTCATCGTTTGTTCAGCGTCCTGATTGTCGTATATTAACATATCAGTTCGATAACATTCGACAGAGGGCATTATTTCATGTAAACGATTTCCCTCACATAATCAAATAATCTGTTCGTATTCGATTCTAATCACACGATTTTGATTACTGATTAATCAAAAGTTAATCAAAAAAGATCACTACTCGATCGACTATTTTGGTCACTTCTGATTTTAATCATTTTGTAATTGGGCGAAGAAATTACCCTACATCGATTTTTCACCTAGATTGTGAATCAATTATCAACAAAATTAATCGAAATATTCGATAGAATAGCGATTTTTTTTATTATTGCTCGGTTAACCATTTATTCGAATCATATAATTATATCAGTGCGCATAGCAAGACAATTCGTTTAAGATGAGTTTGTCTACTAACAAAAGAAACTATATACATTGAAAAAAAGCATTCATGTCGTTATCTTTTAAAGCTATTCGATTAATCATGGTTTCGCACGTATAAATTCTTCGAATATTACTGTTTAGATTTTTTTCTGTAGAAACAGAAACGATCATGTATGTTATTTATCTACTCTTGTTCATGCCTAAGGTGATTGTATTTAAGATTTTCTATTTGCATATTAAGATCAATTTTTAATTCTCATAATCGATTTCTCATATAAGGGAGAATATTTGAAGAAATCTCATCATTTTCTATTTCTGATGCTTCAATTCTTTATGTCATTTAAATCTAATTCGTATAGCTATTTTAAATATTTTTATTTATCATCAACTGTATTTAAATCTCGCATAGCTCGATTGAATGTTTCAATTATTCTTCAAAAAAAAATAATACGATTATTATTAATAGAAAAAATCTAATAAATATACGCTTGTCAAGCACGTTAGGCATTTTCTTATGCTGATAAATACATTTAGTAGTTAATGTATGAAAAGTAAAACTCATACAGTCAATTAAATCAGGTACATTATCAGCTACCGTTATTCTTTGTCCTATTATGAATGTGACCATGGTTTCCGATTGTTTTTAAAAGTGGAAGAAGTTAAATCTTTCAGTTCTTTCCTGATTGGCAAGACTCAATGTGACCATTATCTTGACTTTTCTTATGCACCAATGCGTATACTAATGACAATGGTTACTGTAACGTGAACAAGACATCAACCAATTTTTAATCAATGATCTACATTGATCATCCTTTTGAATTGTAATGCAAATGAAAAGGATTGAATTTCTTTCGAATAGAACAAACTAAATCAGGGTGGGTGTGGGTGTGGGTGTGTGGGT